AGATCCAACTGGCTGTCACCCAGCAGAAGGTCGCATTTCAAAGTTGGCTGAAAACACAGGACGTTCAACTTGCATGCGCTTTACGAAGAAGCGTTCAAGGTGGCACCACTGGAGTAAAATTCTTTGAGGTGTTGGGGTATAATTTCTAGATGACAAACATGGCATTCTGGCAGATCGTCGGTCGCCTCCAAAATAGAAAGAAGGGCATTAATAGAGTTCTTATGGACAAGTCTCGATGATCTCTTGCCGCTGATATGATATTCGTTCGCGATTGAAGAATACTTTAAGAAAATGCTTAGCCCCGAGCAACCACCAGGAGATTGAAGACCCGCCTGTAGAGTTGCAGGGAACGGATATTACCATTTCTATAGATGAAATTACACAGGCTGTAAAAAGCTTGAAAAGTAGAAAGCCCGCTGGAATTGATGAGATCCGCTTTGAAAGGCTTAAGGTATTAGGGGAACAGGGAATGTGCTGGCTTATACGTGTCTGCTAATTTGCAATTGCTACGGGAAAGACACCTGAGGATTAGAGATCGTGGGTTGTAGTATGCATGCTCAAGAAGGAAAACTATTGGGGTTGCTGCAATTATCCGCCGAAGCCGCGTTCTGTCCCCTTTCCTGTTTGCGTTTTATATGGATAGAATTGTGAGGAGCAGACAAGACGATGAGTGTATCCTGTAGGAGGTGTCGAGACGAGAAGGTTGCTGTTTGCAGACGGCCTTGTTTTTTCGGCATCTTTTGAAACTTATCTACAGCGTTTTCTGGGAATAATTCGCAGCCGAGTGCGACGTGGCCAGGATACATGCGAACGTAGCAAAATGAAAAGCCTTGTCCTTCTCGTTTTCCTGCTCATTGCTGTCTTCGGATAAACGGAGAAGCAGCTGAGCAGTTGGAGTCCGTTTACTAGTGTTGAATAACGGATGGAAGAGACGGTGGATTGGAATCGTCATGGGGATTCTTCGTGAACTAGTCTGAACCATTGTGCCTTAAACAGAGTTCTGTTTGAAGACCAAGAAACTCACTGGTGAAACAGATTTTAATCCGTATGCTAACACACAGTCATAAGTAGTGGAGTATGACTGAAATCTTTCGATCCCGAGTACAGGCGGCTGAAATGGGCTTTCTGAGACGAGTCGCTGGCCTTACGCATCTCCACATGGTTTGGAGTTCACATATCCGAAAAGTCTTGGTGTACAGCTGCTGTAGCTGCATGTGAACTAGTGACAGCTGCGGAGGTTTGGGCACGTGTTGCGAAAGAATCCAGAAGGGACGGCGATGCATTTACTACTTGTCCAGTTGACCGGAAGAATACTAGTGGGACGGCGAAGTTTGACATGGGTCAAGTTATTGAAGCACTCTGCTCTGGACTCCTGTTATCTACTTCTAAGGCTAACACATTGGAACAGGATCAGGAACGTTAGAAACACTATGTGACGCATCTGCCTCTGAGACCTGAAAGGAGAAGAGACCTTGGAAACTAAGGTGAAATGCGATTTTCATTGACCTTCCGGTTTGAACTCATTATGTCTAATGGTAAAGTGAAACTGCAACTCACTGACCCTCCCGGTTCACATAAGTTATTCTCGGCAACCAATAAAAGTTTACAAAAATTTCCCTGAGTGCTTCAGCAGTACTGATGTTCGACAAAAGAAAGTGACGCGGTTTTCTACAGGTACTGCAGGAGCTAAGGGAAATGGAATCGCAACAATACTTTACGGACTCAATATGAATCGTGGAACTAGAACTGGAATCTCAGAAAGATGAGGTACGAGGGTTAGGCTTGAAATACAAAAGTTAAATTTTTTACAGACAGGGTAAAGCTTTCCATATAAAATATTGGCACATTTGCATCGTTTCCAATCGATGGGAAGCAATCACATATATTAGTTGCACGGCTTTATCGGTTTTTATTTAATCCCTATAGTAGCTGTTTAGCTATACTTCTGACAGCACGGTTCATCGAATTCAATGGATGATTGGTTCATGATTATGTTGCGTGAACTGTTAGAAATATTCCAGTTAATATGATGACTTTTTCAGTTTTCTCAATCGGCAATGTCGCAGAAATTGTCTAAAAAGCTGATGATTTTCAAAGTTGGATAGTTTTAAAGGGTTGGTCATGAATTGTAAAATGCGACATTTTAATAACTCAATCTTCTTGGTAAGTAGATGGGGTCTGTCATCTAGTCTCAAGATTGCATAATCCGTCATTCAGCGTTCTTTGAGGCCATTTCAGCCCATTCAAAATGATATCTATTTTGCAAGATGGCTTTTTGATCAGCTGATGATTTCTTCGAGCTCTGAAAATTAAGTTTTCATATCTGAGCTGTTGACATTATTCAAATCATTGCAACTCGTAGCGCAATAATTATGCAAGCAGGAATGGCCATTTAAAATCATGACATAATTATTTAATCGTTATGTCCGTTTTGAATCGTGTTAATTTGTTCAACTGTCTGTACGCCTTGTAATTCATGTCTGGAAGTAAAGAATTGCGTTCGAAGTTATCATTTTACAGATCTATCTTCAATACGCATTCCAAGGCATGTGAATTCGAAAGACAC